TAATTTTTATAATTAATAATAATATAATATATTAAAATAATATAATAATATAATCTTATATATTTTCACTGTTTATGTTAACGTTACGTCATATTAATATTATGGATTATAAAAAATTATAAATTAAATAAATAATTAATTAATAATTATAAAAATTTATCTAATTTAATGTCTATAAAAATTAAAAAAATTTAAAATTTTTTTAAATGTATTATACCTTCAAAATTGGAATTTGAGAAAACTGTGCTTAATTAGAGTTAAACTTATTTGAAGCCTAAATTTAATATTTATTAATTAAATTTATCAAATAAAAAAGGTGTATTATATTATGTTTTATTTAACTTTATAGTGCTAAATAACTAAAACTTAAAAATAATTATTTTTCATGGATAGCGAAAATATATTATAAGTAGCTTCACCCATGAAGACATACATGCTATCCATAAGTATTTAGACTGGTTTATAAGATGGAATATGCTAATACTCAATTTTAACCAAGGATTGGTTGGTTTAATTAGTTTGTTAGTCTTAATATCTAATGATTGGTTCAGTTACTTAGTTTCTTTCAAAGAATTGAATGAATTGGATACGGAGGCAAGTGGAATCAAATGCATAATTCAGCTTAGTAAAATTTCATTATTAGACAAAGAACAACATCACCATTTGACAGCCATTTCTCCCTACAAGCTTTGTTTAGTCAAGCATGATGAAACAAAAAGGACTACATCACTACACTAACTACATCTTTTTCCATATAAACATTCCAGGGCAGAAGCAGAAGCAGAAGCAAATTCCTTCCTTCAAGCTGAAACTCAGAACCTTCATGAGGAGAATCCTGGCATTTTCTTCTGCATGGAACAACCAAATAAACCTTGTCAGAAACAGACAGCCTAACCAAAACCATCAAACTATGGGCAGCCTCCCAGCCCTGCTACTATTATCTTGGCCCAAAAATTTAAGGGCTCAAACAAGCTCCCACCTCTGGCCGGACCAGACTAGCAAGCCCAATGTGGACCTCGACTTAGAAATACAAAAGGAAACCTTCTTTATAATTAATATTTGATTGCGGGTTTTGAGTAGTTTGTTTTCAAACTTTTGAGGGGTGAAAAAAGACCTCTCATGGAAATAAGGTAGCGTTTGATACTTTACAATATAAAATGATTATAGGTAATGTGATTGCAGGTAATGTGATTACAAGCAATGTCATTACAAGGAAAATAACATTACAGTGTTTGGTATATAAGTAAAATAATGATTAAAATACAAAAAAATAAGATTACAGCGTTTGATTTATCAATACTTTGCTGAGAATGTAATGTTAATTTTTAAAATTACCCTTAATTATTAAAATACAAGTTTAATATATTTTATTTTTTATTATTAATTTTTATATAATATCATCTCTTAAATATATATTTAATGTCATATATTTTATTTTTATTTATTATTATAATCTTATATATTTTATTTTCATTTCTTTAATATAATTTTTATATTATATATTTATTTTAATTTATTTTACCTATATTATATAAATTTAATTTTTTATTTTTATTTATTTTAATTTTATTTTTATATTATATATTTTATTTTAATATTTTTTTATTTAATTATAATATTATAAAATTTTAATAAAGTAATAAAGTTGAAGGGTAAAAATATCTTTAATAATATTACAGAGTGCAATGTAATGTGATTGCATTGATTTTGGACTGCAATCACATTACATTCTTTAGTTGTAATGTGATTGCATTATAATCTTACATTGCAGTGGTCTGTTACAAAACAAACACTGTAATGTAATTTAATTAGACACATTACAGGGAATGTGCTTCCACTTCTCTTATACCAAACGCTATCTAAATGACTAGTGCTTGACAAGGAAATCAATGTGCCCCACTATGACTCTTTGAGGTCCATGGCATATTCAAAAAGAAGCGCCAATGATACGGTGATTTGGTGAGCTGAGGAACTGAAATATGTTTTAATCATCACTTCCATTAACAACTCCAATAAGATTTACAGCAAGAGTTTCATTATTATTTTAATCTAAGTATGTTCTAGTTGTATGTAAGTTTATTTGACATGAGATTGAACAATCACAACAAGAGCCTGTTATTCTTTATCGATGTCATCATTTTCTTGCGATCATTATAAATGCCTCTGTTTTTCTCCAATTTATTGATTTTTTTCTATAGAAATCTTACAACAGGGAGAAATTGATATGGGAAAATTATTGAGAAAAATGTTTTTTACTTTTTAAGTTGTGTCTATCTATTGACTATATACATGCCTAGTTTTAAGGTGAAAATAGAATATGATTTAGATCTTTGTTCTAGGTTAATGAAATTTAAAATATTGCGTTATGGTTAATTTCGCATTTTATTCTATACTCTCAGGATAATGCAGGTAACATATTACACCTAGTCACTTCAGGTTGCGAGCAATGTTGCTACGCTCTGAATTTACTTTATGCACTTTTTAAGATTAAGATCTGTATTTTCTGTTGATTTATAGTTGAAATTTGTTAACATGTCAAATAGAAAGTGTTCATATGTAAAAGGTTATCAAAAGGATAAGGTGGCAAATCCTTTGGCTAATGCAGAAATACATGAAGTCTCTATCTTGCGCATCAATTGAAGATTTTACAGGTTTGATATGGTTTCTTATAGCCTCAAACTATCCTTGCCAAAAGTCTCAGGCAAACATGCAGTTCTATGTTATCTTCATTGTTATTGTCATAGTCGTTGTTGTCGTTGTCATTTTTACTGTCGTGAAGTTGTCATGCATACTCTTGCTGGATGCCATCTCGATTTCAATTTACTTACAGCTCATGTTTTCACTTATAGATGGCAAGGCATGACTTCTGGCAACAACTTTGTTCGGCCCTATAATTGGAGCAGACTTTGCTTAAAGGCTGTGGAATTTGACAAGAAAATTGAATATAGAGTTTCAGACAATTCAGCTTTCCCCCTTAATTGAATGTCTCTCGTTGAAGTAATATCTTCTCTTTTCTTTGTTGTTTTTTTTCCTTTTTTGCCTTTGTTCTCCCCAAACGTATGAAAAACATTTGTATCAGTACTTTGATTAAGCTTTAATAAACAACAAAGATCGTTTTATATATATAAATTTATTTCTTGTGCCTACTTTTTATTTCATTTTATCAAAGTAGCTCCCAAAGAGTGATTTTCTTTTACAATAAATTTTTAGTTGATAGGTTTAAAATTTTGCATAAAAAATACTTAAAAAGTAATCATATAAAATTATAAATTTATATATCATAAATTTTATATATATAATAAAAAAATTTAAAATAAAAGTCCCCAGTTGCACCACCTTAGCTCCGCCCGAATGCTTCTGGTGGACCATTGTTCTCTGGACTTGGCTTTCAAATCTCAAGTACTCAAAATGTAATAAAATATAAAAGTTAGCAGCTTAGTGTCATGATTGCAATAGAGAAACAATGGATTATGTTTAAAATGCAAAAGCTTGTATAATATTATAATTTTTTTCATTATTAATTATAATATGTCAACATATCACATCATTATTAATTATAATATGTTAATATAATATCATGTGGTTAAACTTATCAAAATGGACATGGTCCATTAGGCTAGCTCATTCTTATTGAAAGTGAGGTAAGTTGGTTTTGAAAATTCAAACTCATATTAAAATCGAACTTAAATGGACCAACCCATCTAATCAGTGGGTTATCTTAGTTGGGGCGAGTCAGTCATATGGGTTTAAAGAAAAAACTTAAATTAATAATTTTATATATTATATGCTTATGTTTATGAGATTATAGTTTGTGTTAAAGATTAAAATTTTATTTATATTTGATGTAATTTATTTACTTATTTGTATTTCGTGTAATTTATCTATTTATAACATATTTTTATTATTTAATTTATGCATTAAATTATAAAATAATTTTATTGATAGGGAGCTTTTTTTTTTAATTCAAGCAAAAGTAATGTGGTATATCTATTATATGATGGTATTAAATTTACATTGAAGTTCAGATTAAGCGTAAGCACAAACTCATTGAATAGAAGATTAGTTACATCTACATTGCTTAAATAGATCAAAGATCACAAACCATAGATCCCAGTGTGTTCAGTTTAACAAGATAAAAAATGCACTTTCAATAAAATGGCTGCTATCAATGTCCTTGTGCTTGATTTGGCTTATGCACTTAAGGCCACATGATACATGACATTGAAGCCATTTAGTTGTAGAACTCTACAAGGGTGGCGCACGTGTGCTATTCTAGCTGACCAAGATCTGATTTGACATTAAAGGAAGGTACTTTACCCATAAATTGCCATGAGATGACACTGAGATGGTGTCATTTTTAAATTTCATTAATAGAGAATTTGTTAAGTAAAATTGTAAAAATATTTTTTTTTTTTAAAAAAAGAGTTGATTAAGTCCAACTTATGGGATAGCAAGGGTCTGTTGAGTTAGAGTTTTGATGATCCATGTGAAAAATGAACTAATTTGGTGTAATTTATATTTTTTCTATCCACAAGGGTTTGGGTTAGATTGGGTGGGGTTAGTTTATATTGACATTTTCACATATAATATAAAATAATAAATAATATTTTAATTATTAATTATTAATTATAAAATTTTATTTGATTCACAATCAAAGTTTAATAACTTATTGACTTATTTAATTTAAAATAAAAATATAAAAATTTAATTAAAAATACTAAAAATATAAAAATTTATTTAAAATTTTTTAAATAATTTAAGAATTTTTTCAAATATTGTACATTTTTTTTATTCCGAGAACCAAGAGCCTGTTTTTTATTTTTATTTTTATTTTCAGTAGCCAAAACAGAGGAAGTTGCTAAGCAAATTACAAAGAACGTGCAAGAAAATCCATTAAACCAACTCCGTTTTCAATATTTCTTTTCCTTACCCTTCGTAAACAATCCAACCTCCTTTTCCTTCAGTGGTTATTAAAATCTTGTCCCTTTCTATTCCCAAAGAACCTGGTTTCTTTCAATGGCTAAGACGGAGTCAGCAGCAGTAGGGGAAGAAACAGAGTTAAAGAAGGAACTGGGAAGGGTGGTGAAGACGATTCTTGAAGAAGATGATATCGGATTGAAAACAATTGAAGCTACGAGAATCTTGTGTAATTTAGCTGAACTGAAGCTCAAAAAACCTGTTGGCCTTGGAGTGGATGACATGGTTATGCCTGAGAAATTCAAGTGTCCTCTTTCAGGTGAAATAATGGGTGATCCTGTTGTCTTGGCTTCTGGCGAGGTTAGACTTTAAGGATCGACATTTTTTACTTTTTCTTTATCATGCTTAAGACTGTTTGAATTTTGGCCGGCTTGTTTAAATTTTTTTTAGCCTATGGCTAATTATTTTTTATGTTTTTTTTTTCTGATTTGATTGGGAGTACATTGAGTTTGTGAAAGGGAATAAAATAATTATTCTGTAAAAAATAATAAAGTAAAAATAAAATAAAATAATTATTATATAATTTGGTTTATGAAATGAAATAAATTAAGAATTGTTATCATTAAACATTGAATTAGAAAGAATAATTTTAAAATGATTCAAAAATAAAAAACAAAATGATAAAATTATCTTTTATTATAATAAAATTTATTTTAATCAAAAATAAAAATGCTTTTTTATATAATTTAGAAAAATTTATATCAAAAGAAAAAATTACCTTTTACTATAATTTAATAATATTTTTTATTTTTAAATCTTTTAATTTCTATTTTAATTAAAATTTTAAAAATTTAAAAATTTATTATTAAAATATTAATATGATTTTATTGTTTAATTTCTTTTTATTTTTTTCTCTGCTTGCATTTTTCACTTTTTAATCTTTTATTTCTATTTTTATTAATAAGTTAATAATTTAAATATTAACATTTTAAAAATAGATTTAGTGTGGAATTTTTAACACCATGGAAGGTGGATAATAAAAATTAAGAGATTTTAAGGAATAGTTATTCCAAAGAATGGATATCCCTCCCTTCAAAACCAAACCAAATGGAAAAAAAATAATTTTTTGAAGAATATGGTGGAATGGCTTAGCCATTCTCGCGTAACAAGTTGTAAAGATTTTCAAATATTGAGTTGTCCTTCATTTTAGAAGGAAATGAATTTGATGAATTTGATGTTCGGCAGACATTCATGATTTTAATTAGGTTGAAATTCTCAAAAAAAAAAATTTGTTTCTTAGCTAGCTACATTTCAATAAAATAATCTGAGCCTAAATATTACCTTTTTTGAAAGAGATTGTCATATTTAATTCTTGATTTTTGTTTTCTTCTCAATCATCTGCATTAACAATATCTTACTGATTTCAGACTTATGATAGGCCTCACATCCAGAAGTGGTTGAGTGAAGGTAACGTAACATGCCCTCTGTCCAAACAAGTCCTTTCCCACACGATCCTCACCCCTAACTATTTGGTGCGAGAATTGATTTCAGACTGGTGCGTACAACGTGGCATTGCACTGCCAAAATCCTATCAGGATGTTGATGGAAATATGAATACTGAGGTAGACCAAGTTCATTTGAACTCATTGCTTGAAAGGATGTCTTCTTCCCTTTCTGATCAGAAGGAAGCTGCTAAAGAGCTTCGGAGACTAACAAAGACAACACGATCATATCGGGCAGTTTTTTGCGCGTTTACTGATGCCATCTCTAGACTGCTCAGTCCACTGCTACAAAGCAAGGTTGAGTTAGACCCTAGTGTCCAGGAGGATTTGATCACAACAATTTTTAACCTTTCAATTCATGGAAACAATAAGAAACTAATAGCAGAAAATCCTATTGTCATCCCTGTGCTTATTGAATCTATGAAGTTTGGAACCATTGAAACAAGAAGAAATGCTGCAGCTGCTCTATTCTCATTATCTGCGCTCGACTCAAACAAGTTCATCATTGGAAATTCTGGTGCTCTTGTGCCTCTCCTCCAACTCTTACATGAAGGGCATCCATTGGCAATGATCGATGCTGCCTCAGCAATATTCCGCCTATGTATTTTATCTGAGAATAAAGCAAAGTTTATTGAAATAGGGTTAGTGAAGGTAATTTTGTGGAAGATTGAGGATGGTATAGTTGTTGATGAGTTGTTGTGCCTTCTTGCTCTACTATCTACAGAGCAAAATGTTGCTGACGAATTTGGAAATCTTGATACTTTGCATCGGTTGCTTCAAATCATAAGGGATAGCAGTTCTGAATTAGCTAAAGAAAATTGTGTTGCAATCTTATACAATGTGTGTTTGAAAGACCTGACTATGCTGTTGGTTATCAGGGCAGAAGAAATTAAAAAGCATACGTTAGCTGAACTTGCAGATACAGGGACTGCAAGGGCTAGAAGGAAGGCTAATGGCATCATTAAAAAAATACATAAAGTTTTTCCGACTATGCAGAGCATGAGGAAATAAACTAAAACAGAATTCATATTTGTACGTTCTGTTTTTTCATTTGACATAATATGCACCAATTCAAGCTCAGTTACTTGTTTAAAAATTTTACATGTCTAAACAAATTCTTATATACTCATATCAAGCAAGCTTTAGTCCAATTGAGGCTTATAGATGAGCAAAGGATATAGAAAAGTTTATCATCCAGTGAAAGTTGTACTTTTTAGCATATCTGATTCGTTATGAATTCTTAACGCTCTTCCCTTCCTTTCCATTTCCTTATATAATCTAATTTATATCAACAATATAGACTGATTTGAGTGCCAACATTGAATTGATACCTGGTTTATGTTGTTTTTACTGAAAAACAATAAAACTTTGAAACCCCTAATTTTCATATAAGGATAGAAAGATAACTTAATTAGTTTGGTGAGTTATTGATAAATGTTTTCAAACCTTTTCAATTTATTGCTTAGAAAATTTATATTTTATAAACCATTAAGTTTATTTGGAAGTAAGTGGAAAGAGACAGCCTATTGGGTGTGTTTGGAAAAAAAAAACTTCTATTAAGAAGGCATCAATACCTAACGGCCAAAATGCATTCTACTCAACAAGAATAAATATCTATTTCGTGGGTATCGATATCTAAGTACCTAGAATGCCCTGAAAAGGCATTTTATATGAAAAGTAGCCATTTCTAAAAATAAAAAAAATATTTTTATGTTTTTGAAATTTTAAATTTTTTTTTTCAAAAATTTAAAATTATTTAATTTTTAAAGTAATAAAAATTAAGTATTGAAATTTTATTGATTGATTTGTCTGTTTTCTTATATGAATTATAAATATTATGTTTGATTATATTTATTATAAATATATTTAAATTCATCAAAAAAATTATTATATTGATTCACCATATTGGACTTCCTTTATTCGTTTGATAATACTTAAAAATGTTAAATCAAGAAAGGTAAGTTATGTTAAAAGGAATTTTTGATTTTTTTTTCAATGAAAAAGGGTGAAAATTTCAAATCAAGTTTGATAGCATTAAAGAGTAAGTTGCAATTGGAGATTGTATTGGTTTTTAAGAGTAATCACATTACATCAATGTATTACAATTTTATATTAAATTGGTATATTTCAAAACAAACATTTCATGTATCTATTGTAAGGTTGCAATCCTCATACCAAACCCTACTTTTCTTTTTTTTTTGTCTTTGATACCAAAAAAATCAATTTGACTGATGTTGATAAAATTATATGTTCAAAATAACAATAAACAAATTGAAAAAGTGGCAATTGATGTTGAAATCCAGTGTATACATCCTGCACTGAGTTGTAATTCCATCATCTGCATTTTTTCCCTTAATTTTAACATTCTGCCGTCAGCTTTGGAATTTGCATAAACAAATGAAATTTTGAACAACTAACACACTTGAACAGGCAAAGATTACCAACATCTACATGATTTATTTTTAATCAGAACTTTTACAAGCGCAAGAACTTCTTGCATCCGGTATTGGCTGGTGTAAATATCAGTCATTATCAAAGCATTCTTCCTTTCTTAAGAATCGTTTGTCGGTGACAACTATTCATTAACATGCATTAGCTTTTCACAGCTGGTGGCTGTTTTTAGTACATTTGACAAGTTATTCTAGTTCCTGAAATATTCAGCACTCATTCTTGCATTGTTTCCATCATTGGCATGCCTGGTCATAAACTCCTACCTCCTTCTGCAGTCCACCTTCATTTATTCAACTCAATTGACCATGACTTGTTAACAGTAAAATCAGATACCCGATTGATAATGGTTTCATAGCTTCTTTCTTGGGTAAAAATTTGCAAGTAACTGTCAATTCCAGAAGCATGTGTGAGGATTTCCGGGAAGTAACTTTGTACTTCTGGTCAATGTTGCTTGGATTTTTCATTTTCCTTGATATATCCGCATCTAACACATACTACCGACGTCGGACATAAACCCGAAGCTCACGCCGAAGCTAACATAGTTTCTGTCATGTATCTGATATTAACTTGGAATGTTTCCACAAAAAAGGCCTGCAAGTGAACATAATCTAAAGAATCCGATTACGAAAGCCAACTGGTTTTAAAGACAGATAAGGTGGTTTTGAGGATGGACTGTAATAAACGTATACGAATCTGGTAGACTAGAAAATGCCAACAACTGCTTGTTAGAAAACATGTTCGGTTTTTAAACAATATATAAACAATTATTAACGTAAATATAAATACACTTTAAATTATTACCCTTCAAAAATGCAAAAATATAAATACCCAGAAGTTAAAAATATTAGTATTTTTATAGTTTTAACAATAAATACACTTTCAAAAATAAAAACCAACAACAACCAAGTTGCATAAAATTTTCAAAAAAAAAAAAACAACAAAGTTACATATGCATGTTTCTTTCGCTTTAAATTATCAAACCCACATCGTAAACAAGGCCTTATTCAATAAATTTCTCCCTTTAGCAGAAAAGGAAAAAAATTTTGGGTCGATTTAATATCGTGTATTTATAGAAGTGAACTTGGTTAGAGACATTTTGTCGAACAGGTCAAAGACAAAATAAAACGAGGGACAACACTTACAGGTGAGAAACTGAAATACAGGGTTATTGAAATTGAAAATAATCCTTGTAATGGAAAAGGAAGGGTACCTCGTTGACTGCTGAATGTGATGATGAAACTCTATTACTTTAGTTTTGGCCTTTTCACTGACATATAGAACTGGAAGTTTGAACTGTTTTTCTTGCAGCAAGATGCCCTTGCGTGGCTCTCTCCTTTTTCCTTTTTTTTTTAAATTCAAAATCAGCCTAATATCTAATAAAAAATTTTCTAAACTAATTAAAAATTAAATTTTTATTTTTATTATATTTATTAAAATTTTATATTTTTATTTTAATTCATATAAATACAATTTACGATTGATTAATTATTATTACATGGTGTTCACGTGTCATAGTAAATGATAATACGACATATTAAAGTTATATAAATATTTTCATATTGCATATCAATGTCACATCAATATCTATAAAAAAATATAAATTGTATTTAATTAATAATACTTATTCAACTATTAATTATAAGAATTGATTTGATCAAATATAAAAATGTAATTGAATATAATAAAAAATAAAAAATTATTTAAATCTTTTTAAATAATTCAAAAAATATTTACAAATATTATATATTGAAAATCAGAATTTGAAAAAACTTTGCTTAATTAGAGTTTGACATATTTGAAGTCTAAATTTTATATTTATTAATTAAAGTACTGAATATCTAATATTACAAATAATTATTTTCAATGAATAGAAAAATCTATCCTAAGTAGCTTCACCCATGAAGACACGAACAAGTATGCATGCTTTCCATAAGTACTTAGACTAGTTTATAAGATGGAAAATGTTAATATTCGGTTCTAACAGAGGATTGGTTCAATTAAGTAGTTTGTTAGTCTTAATCACTGATGGTCGGTTCAATTAATTAGGTTTTTTTCAATGAATTGAATCAGTTGGATACGTAGGCAAGTGGAATCAAACGCATAATTCAGCTTACTATAAATTCATCATTAAACAAAGAACAAAATCATCATTTGACAGCCATTTCTCACTACAAGCTTGGTTTAGTCAAACATGATGAAACAAAAAGGACTACATCACTACACTAACTACATCTTTTCCATATAAACATTCCAGGGCAGAAGCAGAAGCAAATTTCTTCCTTCAAGCTCAAAACTCAGAACCTTCATGTTGCACAAGCTGGTACCAAGCATGAGAAGAGTCCTGGCATTTTCTTCTGCATGGAACAGCCAAATAAACCTTGTCAGAAAGAGAGAGCTTAACCAAAACCGTCAAACTATGGGCAGCCTCTCAGCCTGCTACTATCATCTTGGCCCAAGAATGTAAGGGCTCAAACAAGTTTCCAACCTTGGCTGGACCAGACTAGCCAGCCCAATGCAGACCTGGACTTAGAAATAATAATAAAAAAACCCTCCCTTATAATTAATATATGTATTGATGGCGGGATTTGAGGAGTTTGTTTTCAAAGGGACGGAAAAAGACCTCCCATCGGAAAAAATGACTAGTGTTTGACAAAGAAATCAATACGTGCCCGACCATGACTCTTTGAGGTCCATGGCAGAATCAAACAGAAGCGCCAATAATATGGTGATTTCGTGAGGTGAGGAACTGAAATATGTTTCTTTATTACGTGATCCCAAGTAAACTGGTAGGCATTGAATATTTAATTAATTATCACTTCCATTAACAACTTCAATAAGATTTACAACAAGAGTTTCATTACTATTTTAATCTAAGTATGTTCTAGTTGTATGCAGTTTTATTTGACTTGAGCTTGAACAATCATGGCTAAATACATATATATATATATATATATTATACACAAAAGAAAAAGAACCCATCTTGAAAGAAGGAAGAAAAATTAGATGGAAAGGGACTTACTCGCTTGGAAGAGTGGAGGAGCTCAGGGGGGATTTTGTAGAGATCTTCATCAACAGGTTTGGGTGGTCTCCTGGGAGGCACGGCATCATTTTTGAGTTGCTTACCACTGTTGTTATTATTATTATTTGAAGTAGGCACGTGGTGGGGATGTTGATGCTGGTATTTCCGTGGTGGTTCAGTCACGTCACAAACTCTCCCTGCCTTCTTTTGCTCCTTAACGTGCGGTGCTCGCTTCTCTCTTACCCTACTCACCTGCTAAATGCCACCACAGACACCATTATTGTCAACATTCATAATAATAACAATATCCACCCTTTGATATCATCTATTACATCCTTGGCTTGCATTCCCATTCTCCTGTTCAGAATTGTGTCGACGTCACCCCTAACTATCTGATCTCAACCATTCGTACATTTACATTGTGAACACTCTTTACCTCAAAGTTAACACACAAAATTTACTCTATCGCCTTGTTCACGTGATCACTCCAAATATGTTATTTTACAACCAACCCCTAGGTGTACAAACAGATAAGTTAATTTACTAATAAATGTTGTACGAATGATGGAGATTAGACAGTTAAATGCATAGACTTTTGAAAAAAATTTGTATATTGCAAGGAAGTTCAGTGTTATCAGAATGAAAAGTCTAAAACTAGAAAGGCAAAAGTTTCTTGCAAGATTGCTTGATTAGAGCAAACGAGTTTCCAGGAAAGGTGCTTGGAAGAACATTTCAGCTTTGGCATTGCTGCCTATGTTTCTGCAAGAAAAGTTGCCACAAATGGGCTTGAAGACAGATTTGCGCTTTACTTACTTCTCTATGTCCCCACTGTACAAAAAAATGACAGTTAAACAGTTCTGCAGATATACCAGAAGTGACTTACCAGAAGTGACTCATTCTTTCTTTTGTTTCAAAGTTCGGATTTTTTTACGTTGCACCAGTAACTAAAGAAGCCGAGAGCAACAAATCAACAGTACAAATATGATAAAGTCGGGAAATAATTAATAATAATAATAATAATAAAAAAGAGCTAACCAACCTTTCCAGGAGGAGCAAGAGTACGAGAATGCTTCCTCGAATCAACAGCGTACAAGTCAGCGGGGACATAAGGATTAGATTCTCCTGATGAAGAGCTGAAACGAATCAAACCAGCTTGTCTAGCACATTCAAAGTACTGAGTTATAGGCAGCTCATTTGCATAGTCCCAGTCTCCAAATGCTGGTATCTGCCCACTTCTCTTGCAATAATCCTAAAGAATTAAAAAGAAGAAGAAGAAGAAGAGGAAAAGAACAAAATCCCACCACAGAATTAGCTTTAAAGAAGAGATTCAAGATTCAAAGAAAATGAAAAAAGAAAATAAAACCTACATCCATTGTGGGGTTGTTTGTGGCTGTTGCTACCTAGGAATGAACAAGCCAAAGTTGTAAAGGTGGGAGGGGAAAGAGATTGGACTTTGAAGGTTGTTTTTAAAGAGAATGAGAGCAAAAAGGTGAAAAAAGAAAAGCTATGGGGATTCTCAAGAAAGCTACAGAAGATATAAATTCTATTTCAGAATTACACAGAAGAAAAGGATCTACAGATAAAGATAGAGTTCAGCTCTTTCCTCTTGTGGGAACGCAGTTTTCGGAAAAGCAGCAAACAGATAAGCAGTACTCGGAAAAAAATTGCAGGAGTGTATAAAAAGATAGAAATAAGAGGGACAGTAGTCTACTATTAGGTGCTTGCTTTGTCAACTTTTTCTCATTATAATATATGACGAAACTTTATTTCTTTTGTCCAACCTTGATCCCATGCTTTGCATTTTTTTTGTATTAATATTTCACTATTTTCTATGTTTCTTTTAAAAAAAATTTTGGGTCTTTTTTTTAATAGTTTCACGCGGCAAAGTCAGGAAATGGGGCCCTTCAGAATGCAGGGAGTGTTCACAGATCACTTGGACTTGGGAGTTGTTAACTGTTAGAAAAAGTGGGTCAGTTTGCAGCGAACTGAAAAGCCATTTTTTTTGAGCTATCAAAGATTTGTTCTTTTATTTTTATTTTTTGGACCAGAAGGGTTGTCAAAGATCTGGAAAAAGCTTGAATATTGCATGAATAATGGCTGTAGCCAGTGGGCAAATGAGCTACAGTTGCTCTTTGGTACCTGCAGTAAGTAGCTGATGTGGAATGAGAAGGGGAAGTGCTTCACTGAGAAGTTTTGTCAAATGGTCAAAGTTATACCCAACCTGATTTTGATTTTGTCTTCTGAATGGAGGATGTAGGATATTTTTTGGAAAGTTTGGGGCAAAAGAATGAACTGGCTAAGACTATTGAAAATTTTGTCCCTATGTTTGGTCTTAAAGCACTGACTGTAAGATATGAAATTATGACTGTGTTGTCATTCCTTTCTCACAAATAGTAATGTTCACTCCATTCAAAGCTCTTCCACAAGGTAGGACCTTCATTATAAAGAGTGAAGTCTACTCCATTTAAACTCTCCATTTTGACTTTGGCATCCAATAACAGATTCAATTTTGCAAGAGCCAAAAAGGATAACAAAAAAGGAGAAAAGGGTATTTCCACTTGTTTGTAAGTGCTCTTTGTACAAAACTTTCAAATTCTTCTGTCATATCTCAAACTAGATGCCAAAGCCACTAACCCACTGGCCAGACCATGACAAAAGAAACTGGTTTTCCTATGGTAAAAGCTTATGAAATTTTGGTTTTTTAAATAGCATTTAACATTATGATAAAAACAGAGGATTTTAGAGACAAATTGAGTTATCTGCTTACTATAATTTTGCAGCAGAAAAGGTTTCTTCAACTCTCAACCTTTGTGCATGGTTTTCACCCTTTAAATCATAGGGAAAGAACATATGTTTGCTAAGTTAAAGCACAACATAATTAATAAATCATAATGTATGGCATTTCCAAAGGAACATTACTTAATTTCGGGTGATTAGAGATAAGGTGATTAGTACATTGTTTGCTGTTAAACCATCCGAAAAGATCATGAACAAAAGAGAATTGCAGCACTGCAACACTGGCCTCTCACTGAGTAATTTTCACTGTTCACCACTTTTCTTTTCAGGTCAATACACAATTTTAAAATGCCAATGCCTGAAGCTAAAGTGAAGTCCCAGGCTCCCAACAAAGCTTTTCATTTACAGCAAAAAATGTCCTCATTAGCAAAACCCTACAACATTTTACCTACCAACCCTTTGTCAGTCAATGCTAAAACTTAAAAAGATGTAAAAATTGCTACCTTGTTTCTTTTCTTTTTTTCTTAATAACTAAGAGAAAATCCTTTTACATTTATAACCCCAAAGTTCTAAACCCAAAAAACCAAGAAAATTTTCTTGGACATGAGAATTTCTTCCCTCTTTTTCTGTTGGGGGTCTTGACATGAGAGATATAAACTTTCATTTTTTCACGACAAATGGGAAAACAAGGGAAAAAAAAGGCAGAAGTCTTTTTCTTGGCTCAACCTACAGGGGGACTAACCTCGTGGAGTGATATATGGTGTACCTAATGTTTTGACTTGGAGCAGAGAAACCCACCTAGGCGCTTGTGCAAGGACCAGATGCCACCTGCCACAAAGGTTCAAAAACGCCACCATGTCTGCCGCAGTTAGGCTTGACTTGGAGTGGAAACTCCCCCAATGAAAAACAAAGGCAAACTTTGACACGGAGGCTTGGGAAGTCATAATACTGAGTGGAAGACATGGTATAAAATCAGACATGTAGCTGATCAGTATTTGTTGTTTAGCTCCAAGGTAAATGACGGTGGGGACCGACCACGGGGTAAGAACTTGAGTTGGGAGTGGAAAACTAGTTCACGTGAACCTCAATACGAAGGAGAAGAAAGGCAGAAAGATTAAAAAGGCCATGTTACTCAAATCTATCAACGCAGCACACAATCCACCGGAAATCATTTATATAAACTCATGGTGACAGATAAAAGAAATAATTAAAATTCCCATATTTGTTCCATCTTAAGTAAGGATGGAATCCAACAAATCTATAGTTAGTTCATACAGCATGTTGTTTTAGGAATGGGAGTTGGGTTTTTTCTTGGTGAATCGCAACTGTCATTTGAGATGTTAAACACCCTTTTTCTATTAAAGTAGGGAAACTCATTTTCAAATGACAACAAAGCACCAACCTTGGTGTACATTTTGGTGGGGTTTGGTTCTTCCCCATGCTTTACTTCTTTATTTTTCTTCATTCAATCATTTATTGAGATAGGACCACAATCCAAGGCAATGAAAGTGCCATATAAATGATGGACAATATGCCAACTTCTTTATTTTTTTTTTAATTTCCAACATCACTAATTATTTTTTCTTTCAATTCCAAAAGAAAATTAACTTTTATTTTTAAAAGAAAAAAGGGTAATGTTTGGACTAAAATATAAAAATTTAAAAAATTTACGATTTACTATTTAAAGTAGTGTTTGGTTGTAAGCAATTATTGGTATATGTTTGGCATAGTATATAAAAAAAAGTCATGCTATTTAAAAGGATTCATATAAATTCTTATTCTTTTAATGTGTTCACTCAAGTTTTTTTTATTTTTATTTTAAGTCCAATAAGTGTTTATAACTACTAATTGATTAAATGTTGTTGATCAAATTATCAGTTATCATTTCACTTGATGTTGACGTATCATGCTGACATATTATAATAGATGATAACGATGTTATGTTAATATATCATTTTTCACATTACACGTCAATGTTATGTAAATATAAAATGATAAATGGTATTTTAATAAATTATTATTAGTCAATCATTAATCATAAAAGTTTATTTAATTCAAGATAAAAATACATAGACTTAAATGAATGTAATAAAAAAATAAAAATTTATTTTAATTTTTTAAATAATTTAAATTTTTTTTCAAGTATTACGTCTATATGTTTTTTCTTGATTGTCAGATTATATGAACAAAATTTTATATTATTTAAAAAAAACAAATAATTAACAGTTGCACATGATTAGGCCCACATCATGGGACTTGGGTCATTGGATTAGGCTCTTTGCTTGTGTTACCTCAGCTTAAACAATATCCAAAGCCCATAGTTAATTGTCAAAAATAAAAGGCCCAGATATCAAGATGCAAGCTCGACACATCATATGAATTAGGCCTAGTTCTGAAGCACACTTCAATGAACCGAATTAGGCTTATAAATCCCATTTTGTTTATTTGGTAGAAAAATAATATGCTATTAGACTACTTATTTTATTTTAATCCTCACATTTCATGAGAAAATATTTTTTTCTTTTAGTATTTTTTTTCCATTCACTTGAACAAATAAACTATCCCACATAAATTAGTAATTTAATTAAATATACTTTGAATGTTTTAAACAGAAGTTTATAATATAATAATTGAATGTTTGTATTCAAATTTAATATAATATCAGCATAGACGTTACCTTGTACATTGATTTTGATAGATTTTTTGTTTGTGCCTGCAAAGTAGGTATCCAAATTTACAAATTGGATCGAATCATGATGGAGTCATAGTCCAATTAATTTTAAAATAGATATCTTTCTTTCAGCAAAGACAAAATAGTTAAGAATTAGTCTCTCTTAAAAATTCCTCTGACATACCATAACTTGACATTGCAACAAATAACTATACCCAAATAGTTGTAGGGTATATACTTTCTTTTCCCACAGAGAAAATAGCTAGAAGCCTATATCTTATTCACTTCCATTCCACATTTATATGTGGAGTTAGCATCAATCTTTGAGCTGACTGCAATGTTATTAGGTGAATTAACACCGTGGTCATCAAATTAGTCAGGGGCTAGCCACTGATATTAGAATTAAAGAGCTTATACCTAATTTCATAGTTATTGCTTACCCAATTAGTTTGAACTGATATATGCATGTGAATGGTAGCTGTGCAGAAGTAAATAGCACACCAAATCTGTTTCTTATAGGATTCCAAGCACCACAATAGAGCCAAAGTGTAACCATTTGTCAGCTTCAAAGCACCCTATCTTGTATGTATGCAGACAGTAGACAAAATATCAGACTATTGGGTTTTAGGAAAAGAAAGTTAAAGAGCAACAAGATTTAAAATCTGTTGGCCTTAGAATAAGCCTAATGAAAACAATGTAACAGTGAGTTATAAATTTGAGAGAATGTACTAGCACTCTTCATAGCACAGAGATTGGTAGGGGATCATCAAAAACAGCATAGAGCAGCAACCAAATTGAATTGAATTCTCTGTTTTCTGTCATGGAATCAACGTAAGCCAACTGATGGAGATGGTCGTCAAAACTTTCAATAAAAACACTATGAACCAAACTAGATTCAATTCAAGGTCCCTGCTTCGGCTGCAAGTTGTCTATTCATCAGGACCGCAGGATCCAGTCTGCCCAAGCAATCGATCAAACAGTACCAGCTTGTTATTTAAGATTTCTCATATTATAAAGTCTTGATAAGTCTGAATCTTAAAAGCGGTAAATACGTTTTGCGGTCCACGCAAATGAACATGTTCTTGAGACAAAAACTAGGGTCCACTTTTTATTGATTGAAAAGTAGCCCCAGTTTAGCTAGTCCAAGAATTGGCAGCTTATCATGTTGAAATGAACTAACATTAAATAAGACAAACAGGCCAATAAGAGATCTTAATTTTACTATACTAAACATTAAGCTTTGAGAAAGTGAAATCTAAAGTGAGGGAAAAAAGGCAAAAGGACTCTGAAATCAAAACTAGCAATGAAATCATAGATTGGTTTGAGTTTGATTTTTCTTAAATAGCTCAGACTCGGGCAATACTAATTTCTGCTTCAAGAGTGGTACGGTGTAGGTACCTTAGATTTACTTACAAAGGGTATTTCTTGTCATAAAAGAAAAATGAAGAACCAAGAAACAGGCTTTTGGCAGGATTAAGACTTGGTTTTTGATGAATGGCTGTAGCAAGACGAAACCAGTATGCAAAATGTGAATGGAGGTTTAAAGAAAAAAAATAGGAAGCCAAATAATTTTAAATGACATTTGCAAAAAGTTTTGTGACTTGGAGCCCACAGCTGTAATCATGATGCCCCTTCATAAACATATAGAAACACTAGGACAATCCTAGAAAGGGCAGGGACCGTTTTCCCATATGTTTCAGGCCTGCAATTATTGGACATGTGTTAGAAAACATAAATGAAAGTACAATCACTAATGGATAAATAGGGAGATGCAGTTCAAGTGCATCTATCAGTGGGCCGGCTGAGTAGAACGGTGATTGTATGATCAAACTGAGATAATATGGGAGGCGTTGCCTGGACCGAAGAAGAGGATCACTTGCTCAAGAAATGTATAGAGCAGTATGGCGAAGGGAAGTGGCATCGTGTACCTCTTTTGGCTGGTAATATTGGTTTGTAGTCTAAATTCACACTTCGTTAAGCTTAGTGGAAAAGGGCTAGCTTTGAATAAAACGAAGATGTGCATATCACTGGGGAGGGTTTGATTCCCTTCTTAAGCAGATGAATACACTTATTATTTAGATATATTTATTTTGTTAGGTATAGAGGGTGCTTGCCAAGGTTTTTCAAGATTATTTCATTCTTGAAATTATTATTCTTTCTCTTCTTTTTCCCTCTTTTTTCTCTTCCATTGTATGTCTGCAATAGTTGCAGAGAGCCATGTCAGGAATGAATATGTCAACCGGATTTACCACAAGCAGGTTTCAGGGGTACTTGGCCCCCTTCTTTATTAAGCTCAGTTAATTTTGAGTATTGTCCCTTTCAAGTCATAAATTGAAATTACTTCGTTTTCACTCGTAGGTACGATTCCTTTGCCTATGATTCATAGTAAAGTAAGCTGAGTGATTGTTCACGAGCATGTACATATTGAGTTTCACAGAAAAAATCAGCAAAAAAAAAAAAAAGTCTCTACCTGTCGATGAACGCTATGAAGTTGAAGTTGTGATATTATCAATTTCATGTTCATTTATTAATGCTTGGGTGTACTTTGGTGTTATCATTATAGGTCTCAACCGGTGCCGCAAAAGCTGTAGGCTGAGATGGTTAAACTATCTACGCCCAAACATCAAAAGAGGGAGTTTTGCAAAAGAGGAAGTGCACCTCATCATCAAGCTCCACAAGCTCCTAGGAAACAGGCAAGTTATTTTCTCCGTCGCTCTCTCTCTTTGTAACATGATAAAGTTACGAATGTAAAACTATGTATTGTCATAGGTGAATGGATTCATAAATAAATTCATCTAAAGGCATAGTATCACAGTAGCGCCTACTACTGGCAATGATGAGAATTCTCATGGGGAATTGCTTTTTTATTAACCTTTAATTTCATTTCTCATGAATGAAGGTAGCTAGGCTTAAGATTAAGAAAAACGTAAAGGTTATAAGTAAACTAAATTTGGCTTTATGTGCCTGATCATGGTGGTCCATGATTGCTGGAAGACTCCCAGGAAGAACAGCAAATGATGTAAAGAATTACTGGAATTGCCACCTGAGTAAAAAGCTCAATATTGCTCAAGAAACTGAAGAGAAGAAAATGCAATAAATGTGGAAATCGGACCCCAGCCACGAGGTAATGCGACAACAGGCTCAGTGAAACCAAGGAGCCGGATATTGTTCCAAATAGCCAGCCAACAATAGAAGAAAGCAGCATGTCGACGCCTTTTCACTTTGTTGAAGTTTCTCAACAAGGCCAGGGCTTGTGAAAGAAGACGACAGCAGCCTCGGCGTGGAGGAGCCTGGAATTCTTGGTGATATGCGAACGATATTGGCCAGTTTTATGAACTTAAATATATTGAGTAGTGATGAAGGCTGCGCGCAAATGGGATTGGGATGATTTGGTCTTAGACATGGATTTATGGACTGATTCAGTGTGAATGTGATTTTCCTAGTTAGTGGTAATCAATAAGCAGTTAAGTTAAGATAACATCAGAATTGTTAAATTCTTATTGCCTCAACATATGTACGGGGTGTTATATTTGGCTTGGAAGGACTTAGCTGCATGAATATTAGAAAAATAAATAAATAAAAAAGAGTGCGCCTACCGAATTGCCTTGCCTTTCAAAATTATGAAGGAATTCCTTCCGTGTGTTTTCTTGCCTTTGATGGGTGAAGTGGATGGTGCCAAGCAAATAAGATGTAGCGTGCATTTATCTGGCATGGGTCATTTCACCATTAAGCTTCTAATTCTCCTCAAAAAGCTAAGGCTATGCTCCAAAGTCGTCCCTCACTCTTTATGAAAAACTTCTTCAACTCAGGCAACTGGTAACGCCTTATCCTAAGTTCATTAGTAATGGCGCTGGCATCTTCTTTGGTATGACAACTAGCATTCACTTGGGCCTTTACTTTTCAAATTCAACAGAAGAATACAACTGGGGGAGTTTGCTAAGTTAACTCCTTGTAAAAGATGGTGATTTTTGGTTCTGGTCTCCTACTAGATCCGAAAAACCAGGGCATACAGGAGATCTTTCCGGAACTCTTTGGCCTCTCCAAAGGTACATTCAAATGTACTTACATAGAAATTGCATTCTTCTGTGTTAACAGCTAGGATTTGGAAGGAGGCTAGAAATAAAGCCCAAAACCTTGCTTAGCATAAACTGGATATGGTTTCCTAACCATGACTCTCTATACTTCTTCATAGGTTGGCAAATAAAGATAAACAAATCAAGTTCGATTTACAAAAGAGGAAATTGTGAGGAATAACTTTCATTAATAAGGGCATTTTAAAAATAACTATCAAAATAAATTTAATTATTTTTAATCATATTTAACTATGACTTGACAAAAATACTCTTAAAACTATTTTAAATAAATTAAATCATTCATCACAATTTTTCTCCTTTTGTGTTTCTGACTTCTCTCTCTCACCTTCCCACTCTCTCTAATTTTATCGATTTTTCTCTTCGGCATTCTTCTGCTATGCTCAGCTCTTGATTTCTCTCTCCCACGTTTTTAGATTTCTCTTTCCTGTGCTTTCAAGACACCAAGCGATGATTTTGATGTGCTTGGGTAGGTGGTTATTTGGATAATTTGATTTTTAGGTAGTTTGGATAAAATTAAAACTGTAAAATTGATCATAGATGTTTGAAATAGCTTTTAATTGGATCAATTTGAAACTTAGATACCAATAAACTCAAGAATTTGAAATTTATAAATCTAGGTCTTCAAAGGAAATTTTATTGATTTTTAGTCAAAATAGGTGTTTTAGATAAGAAAATTTATGTTTTGATTTATGAAAATTTAGCTAATACTATTATAATTATACAAGTTAAAGAGTTATTCCGTTTCTTGATTGATTTCTTTGATTTTAACATCTGAAATTATATATAAACTTGAAGCAGACTTGTTTCGCTATAGTTTATTAGATGATTGAAAAGGGCATGAATACTTTTTATAGTAATTTTAATCAAATTAGAACTTATATAATTTATTTTGTTAAACAGCTTACCAAACAACTTTAAATTAATTTTAAAAGTTATTATTTTTCATAAGAGCTTCATAATAGCTTTTAAGTTAAAAAAAAAAGCTAGATTGAACAGGCTTTAAGAGTATTAAAATAAGTTTGTTATTGTCAAAATTGGGATCATGAATAACTTAAATATGACAAGAGCTTTTTCACATGATCATACTTCCAGTAATTCATTTTTCTTTTTTATGAATTACAATTAAAGAATAAAGTAGGTCGAGGGATTCTATTATATAACAAAAAGGAAAAAGAAAGAAATACTAATAGAGAAAGCTGGCTAAGATTATTATTTCAGTTCAAATCAAACTTTGTAGCCTAAGCACTTTTGAACCCCAAAGAAAAAGGCAACAAGTTTTGACATAAGCACTTTTGTTTTTACTTTTCTATTGTCAAAAAAAGTAAAGAAACTTTCAACATAAGTCTTCAAACAAGCTAAGAATAAAAAGACCACATTAGAACCCCAACTCTTAGACTGTTACCATCACACAAACATTATTTCTCTCTCTGATCACCAAATCCTTTGCTTTTGTTCACTAATTGACATTAACCAAAGCTACACATCACAACAGACATTGAAGGTTTCTAGTAATTCCTCTTGTTTTTATTTGAGCCCCACTATGTTTTTGTTATTTATTTGTAGAACTGACTAAAATTCTACTTCTTTTTATAGGATTCTCTAAAAAACTCACTTATTTTGTGTTTTCTTTGACGGATAGGTAAATTTATTGGTTTTTAATTGATGAGTTAAAGAAACAATGAAGATAGTGTTTTTAAGGCATATCTAACATGTCACTTTTTTTAAGATTTTATTCACCTTACTTATCGTGTACAAAAAGTTACTAACATATTGTCACAACCCAAATCTCTAGCTATGACTAGTGCATGGGCTCAATAGGCATTGCCCACTAGGCTCAAGCAAGCCTCTCTATGTGAACCTGTTCATCAATTCATCTATCATATATCATTGTTTAATAGCCATAATTCGTAATTCCCAATCATAGTTTTCTCAATAATATACCATGGCTACTAAATATGTATATTTATATCATCCCAAAATAATGTTATCAGTTGTCAACTCGTGGCGGCATCATTAATCAAACTAGACATATAATGTTTACAAAATAAATCTCACAATTTACATCAAAGCATCCATGTACACATGCAAAAGGCCTTTGACTACCAATGGAGTGACTGTGGGTATGGGTACTACTATTGAATGTCATGGTAAATCTATGGAAAGGTGAGTATAATCAGACATCTCGATTTAGGTTCCAATTACTTCTAGATTTGAAAACCAAAACATGAAGTTGAAAAGAGTGAGTATAAACCCAGTGAATGAACAAAGGAAGGGAATAAGCAAACAATACTGAAGGTTTGATTTAACTTGATGCACTTTTGTTAGAAACAATGCAAGATTAAATGCTATGTTGTCATTCAAACCATTTAAAAACATTGGGGAGTTCCAACCTTCAACATTCAACACAATCACATTACTTTCTCAAATATCCTTACTCTATGTTGTATGTACATATGTGTATAAGTATTTATGTGTGTGTGTGTGTGTGTCTTTAAACATGCATAAAAAATATCTAGCTCACTCCTAAGAAGAGTAAACATTGTCTAATGCATGCAGCCACTTACCTCTACACAAGTCATGTGCACTCCCACACCGCACATAGTTATTATCGCCATGTGCACTCCCACGCCACACATGGCTATCGTGTCATGAGTTGTCCCACACCATACACCACCATTACTGTCATGTGCACTCCCACACCATACATACACGATTATAGACGTCATGTGCTCTCCCACACCGCACATGGCCATCACCATCAACAATCTAGTCGAGTCATTTGACCATACATCATAAGCCATAGCATACATAATAACATATAAATATGAATCTTTTCTTATCAATACCTTCCACATAGTTCATTATTTTAAGCCATACACATGGTTACACAATCCAATTTCCAAGGAAAAATAGTATCAATTATCATATGACTAGTTACAACATTCAAGGTTCTTCTCATATCACACACCATAATTCACATAATAGTTCTATATAATATTTCATACACATGGTTCATCTCATTATACATTTTGCAACATAAGGATATCATTCATCAATAGTTTGTTCCCATGCATATTTAAAGATGCAAATAAGTATATTCAAGTATTTCATTTGAATGCATATGCATTTTTTTCCAAAACATCTTATATGCAAGTTCACTTACCTTTTTGATGCCACTTTATAAAACCAACACCACTAAGATCTCAATCTAAGTTGAGTCTTGAAGTACCAATAAAACTTATATTTACCAATAAACAATAATAACCTCAAATATATCATAAAATTTGAACTTAATAATTCCAATAAATATATACTAGATAAATTACATTCTAACCTAACATTCAACCTATAATTCTAGTCTAATTCATAAACCCATTAAACTAACTATTTAAATTTAAGGTTTTCTTACCTTGGTGAGCTTGGGGGTATAAAAATCAATAAAACCTAATATTTTCAAGAAAAAGGAAATTAAAAAAAATAGAAAATAAATTGTAAAAATATAAGCTCATAAATTTGAAAGTTTAAAAGTTGAAAATTTATACCTACTAGCTTTAAAAATGAAGATTTGAAGCTAGAAGCGTTAATGTTCATAAAGGTGGAGTATAAATGTAAAATGAAGGAAAGAAAGAGAAATTTCTTTTCTCTCTCCTAGGGTTTGGTTGACAAAAACAATGGGGTTGAGAGCTACTAGTTGACTAAACAAGAAGAAGTAGAAAAATGAAGAACCAAGAAAAGAAATGAAAAGGAAAAGGAAAAAAAAGTGATTTTCTTGTGAAAAGGAAGGTGGTATCGAGTTGAAGAAGAAAACTAGGAAAGCATGTTTTTTTGGGGGAA